ATATGCCTTGAGTTAAAGGAAGTTTTGGATAAAGAATTGCATATTATGCTGAAGAGCAAGCTAGTTAAAAGTGGGCTTTATGGCATGACAACAATTGACTTGAAAATTGTACTCAGAAAATGCTTATTAAAATTTTGTTCTTTAGATTTGAGGTATCAAATGGAATACCGGTAGGAACAGTTCTGTGTCTTCTAATTATTTTCTTTAATGGTTTGCTTTTAAAGACCATATTTTTAGCCAAGGGTTGTATGTTGTTTGAGTGGTACAACACATTAGAGATTGCAGTCCAAAAATATAGGATAAGGGCAGAATTAATGTTGATCTGATTTACATGTCATTCAAGTGTAGTTTATATTACTTTCCATCTTTTTAATTTTCCCCAGTTGTCACATTAAAAGTTAGAATTTGATAACTTTTGGAGAGAGATGCACACAAAGGCTTTCATAGGCCCACATGCTTCCCTACAGTTCATGTGTTATTTTTCTGCTATTTTCATATTTTACTCCCTCCCCATTTCAGAACTATATTCCACCTTCAGTAGTCTCTTGGGGACAACACAAAGATTTACAGTTAGTCCTCAATTTACAACTATTCATTTAATGTCCGTTCAAAGTTACAATAGCACTGGAAAAAGTGACTTATGACTGTTTTTCACACTTACAATATTGCAGCATCCCCGGAGTGATGCTGGACAACTGGCATGCATTTATGATGGTTGCAGTGTCCCAGGGACATGTGATCACCTTTCGCAATCTTCTGATGAGCAAAGTCAATGGGGAAGCCAGATTCACTTAACAACCGTGTTACTAACAACAACTGCAGTGATTCACTTCATTGTGGCAAGAAGGATTGGAAAATGGGGCAAAACTCACTTAACAATTGTCTTGTGTAGCAATGCAAATTTTGTGCTCAATTGTGGTTGTAAGTCGAGGACTGCCTGTATAGGGGAAGGATATAAAGGATTATAGGGGAAGAAAAACAATAACCTATTGGATCTATAGCTTTAAGCTTGTTCTTCACTGAATCCAATCATATATGTTCAGTTACTTATTTTTAGCAAGTTTAGCAAACTCAGAAACATAGTTCTAAATGTTAATTTTTGCCTTCTGTTCCATTGTTCCTTGATATGAATACTTTTCCTCTTATATACTATATGTAATATGTATTTTCAAGGTTAAGGAATTGGTAATAATTTATCATAACTTTGAGACTAATCATTGTACAAAGATCCTTAAATATAAGCTTTCACCAAGTATATCTTTGCAGAAGGGAGTAGGATCTTGACAGGAAAAGAGGGGGGGGGGGAAACAGTGCAGGTAATAATATACTACATATAACTGATAAAATCCTGCAAGCCAAACCAAATTCCTCATGATTTTATAGATAGGTGTTGATAACAAAGAAGTGATTTGCCATTGCTTTTTTGTGAGATAACTTCCCAGTCTAACTTTAAGCCTTTGTTTTCCCTTAAAGTTAGAGTAATTATAATGAATAAACTATTTCATGCTGTCTAAGTATAAGAAACGGCTGGCTGAACTACCTTTGCGAAAAATAATAAAATACTTACAAAAATGTTAATCTTTCATGAACAATTAATTCTAAGCTAATTTAATAAAATGTTATACTATTCCAAATAAATACTGAAGTTTTTAATTCACTTTCCAAAGTTTTTATGTACATAGATATACTGGTTATTGTGGACAGGCTGAGATATAATATTTTCTGATATTGTGCTTTATCCTTCAGAAAATAGAAGAGCCTAATACGATTAGTGAAATTTAAAAAATACATTGTTTAACTGGCTTAAAGATGATTAATTGCAATTTTCAGAGGAGCATTCTAATTAATGGTCAGCCCATCATGTTTTAGTCAATGACTCAGAGATTCTTTATATTATAATTCTGCATATTTACTTAAACTAATTGCTGAATATGAAGTTTACCACATCAGAAGAATGAATAATACTTGCTTCTGGTAATAATACATTAAAATGCTTGTTTTTCAATCAATTCACAATTTGCACTGCATTTAAACAGCATTAATCCCCAGGTCTAATCATTCATAGAAGTACCTCTTTATGTACTGAAAATCATTTTATTCATTAAATGATCAGCTAGTCTCTGCATATTCCATTTTAGTTTATAAAAACACTGATAAAATTCTATGCAAACTCTAAAATCATTTTATTCATTAAATGATCAGATAGTCTCTGCATATTCCATTTTAGTTTATAAAAACACTGATAAAATTCTATGCAAGCTCTTTCAATTAATTTTATTGAGTAGCCAAATTTGATAAATTAGCACAGCTAAAATAAGCATTTGCATGTGTTACAAATGACTTTTTACAGGAATAAAACAGTGAAAATTACAAACTGTAAAAAGGGGAACAAGTAAAACCTTGCCTTCAAGTCAGAAGAGCAAGGTTTACAATTGCACACTAAAGATCAATGTCTGAGTTCAGAAAACAAGGATTAATATTACAATATTTTACACTACTTTACAAAATCAAATTTACTGTAAGAATTTAATATGTAGTTAGTGAAGAGAAGTCTTGTCACATTTGATGGTCCCTTAAATTCTGAATGATATATATATATATATATATATTCTGTTAAATTAACCTTGAATAAACAGGTTTTTCCGCATTATTGCAAAACAATCAGAATTTATTCAAAGCAAATTAAATTACAGAAAAGTAAATGCTAATATGTTGTTGCACGATCAAACCTAGAATATTGGTAAATCATACTAATTATTATTTAAAATCTTGAACTAGAAAAATAGAGAACATCTGCTGGTGACTGCCATGCTGAGATGGGAGCATCAAGGCTACTCTTGCTTACTTATGTTATTAAAGAACCTAAAACATATAAATTGTGATTTAACATTTATACATGGGTCTGCCCTGGATTTCTTAAGAAGTTGAGGAAGGTATCAATTTTCTCCTCACAAAGAGTTAGACAATTCACTTCTATTTCAAAGTGCATGAACATTCTAAACAGTATTCTATCCAAAGAGCATAATATGCTCACAGGTAACATTTTTTGTAGAGTTAATTAGGGATGTATTCTTGAAATATCTTTATCAGGTTCCATAATTCATTCACAGTCCCTTATCTTTATTTTACATGAAGTAGACCTGTGTCTATATCATGCCTTTCCCTCCTCTCCATGCAGAAGATTTATACATACAGAAAAGTTAGGCATGGTGCTGCTCATAAGGATTTTACTATTCAAGTTCTACAGAATCTGATCACACCAACTCTCTGCTCCAACTTGAATGTCTGAAGCAAAGAGGAACCCACAGCCAGCATGAGGTGCTAGATACATACTTCTCTATATCTAATCTTTGCCTACCCCTGGCCTATACCTTCTTTCTAGAAAGCTGGCTTTTACACAAACGTTTGTCTATATTTTTTGGAGAAGAGCTAATTAATTCTCCGCCATATATTGTATTTTAAAGCACCCGACTGATTTCCATAACGTACAAGTGCATATCTCATCATGATTATTATATGGTTCTGAATTAGATTACCAATATTTTAAAAAAAACATTTCAAAATAACTAAATTAAAAAAATTAAATAAGGTTCCTGAAGTCAGCAGGTAGTTCTTTAGATATCTGAATCATTTTAAAGAAATGCTTCCCTTTCTTTCAGTTGCTGAGCAACTGAATTTATACTCCAACAAATTAAATAGATCATACTGCAGAAAGTATCACTATAACATTTGTTATAATTGCTATTCCAGTTGGCTGTTGATAAATACCATAGTTCAAGAACGAACTTCACTGGCTTTTTGCACATACGATCTGTTACCCATTCCTCAGATGGGTGAAACTGTATAAATTAAAGCAATGACCAACAAATCAATGTAAATGATTCCACCAAAACCACCAGGAAGGATTTGCAGCAGAAAATATTCTATTCAATTTTTCTTTGGGGGGGGGGGAGGGAGTGAAATAAAGGTCAATTTAGAAACCAATGATTGCCATAATATACCACCACAGTTCCTTCTGTTTTACAAATGTCAATACACTTATATTATTAATGACAATAAAGGTTATCTAATCTAATTACTTAAATTATAGCAATTTCCAGGAAACCATAAAACTAAGATTTCTCTTTTATAACTGTCCAGAATTCGAACATTCTGAACTGAGCAGGGTTCCTGCCTATATTTTTCCCATTAAAGCCTTAAAATGCTTGAATAGCAAAATAATTATTATTAAATCTGATGCTCCTCTGGATCTCAACAAGCTATTAAATACACCTCCAAAGTATTATTTAACCAGTAAGGATTTTATCAAAACCTCAGCCCATTACAAAAAGGTGCCTGAAAAATTAATAAAACAATATGAAAATAATGGTTTTTGGTTTACTGTCTGTTCCCCTATTTACTTTCAATGAATTAAGACCAAACACATCATGCTAACAGCCAAGACTAGGATCAATTATTGTTCACTATTTTTTTCAGCTGCATCAGATCTTTTTAAATTTTAATTCTTATTGAATATAATGTAATCTCATTAAACTTTCAAGACCTAGAATACTGATACATCCTAAAGGTATTCAAATGAATTATTTGATATTCATCTTAAACCCAAATAGACTTCTTCAAGTTTACTTTTGTTCTTATCATAATCAATGTTTAAAAGAAATGGAAACTTAGCTCATTAAAACTGCAAGTATTTTGTTCACAATGTACTTTTCACTGTTCCTTTTAAAAAGGCAACTTTTAACGAATAATGTATTGTATAATCAAGACAATATAGTTTCCTGGAAACTCGAGTCTTGGAGTTTTTAATTCTAGCAGCAAAACACAAAGCAGAAAAATAAAAGTGAAAGGTAAAAAAGTTAAGTTTATAAACATTTCTCCAATATTGCCTTTTAACGTATACCACAATTACTTACTGTGAAACATTTTTGCAGTAAATTAAAGGTGTCCAACATATTCAAATTTATTTTAAAGTTTTAATGTACAACTACACAATAGTGTACTTAATGATTCCACGGTCCTTTATTTGCTTTTCTTTTTCCTTTTTGGGGGGGAGAAGAGGGGGGAATCACAGTGAGATTTTCATCAACTGCACCAGGCCAACAACTTATAGGAGCGTTACAGGAATAAGAGTTCTGCACGGAGGTACATTCCTTTGAGCAGATGAACCATTTAAGAAAAGAGCTCATTTATTCATTTTTTGCTGAATATGCAAAAGAAATTCATAGTATGATAATGCAGATTCTGTTCTGTCTTCTATCATATTTTGTAGGAAACTTGGTTTCCACGGACTCTCATCCCTTAAAAATATAAACAGAAGGCCATTATAAGTACACGATTATATGCTTTATTCCTTTTAAAACTATTCATAATGATAACTAACTGATTATACTTAGTTAATATTTATTATATGCATACAATTAATGTGCAATATTTATACTAAAAGAACTTTGCCTATTTTAGACTAAATAGTCTAAACAATCCTGCAAATAAATATTAACGATTTCATAATTCCATTTGCATCATCTTCACTGCCCTCTTCTTTTATTCCTTTCTATAGTGTTACTTAATACCATACTTTTGGCTGGTAGGTTTTTTCCCCACTAAATATGCTTTCTGTCTCTGCAAAAAAAAGTATCTTTTTGTACCAGGTATGAACTTAAGAAAGTTTGCAACTTAAGGTACTTACCTGCATGAAGTTGTTACTGTTCAGAAAGACAATCATGCAAAAATTTTGTTCAATCTAACAAATCAAATTTCACAGGCATTCTACTTACCTTAGAATATATAATATAGGAAAGAAAGGCCTTTGCTCCCTTAGCCAGAAAATAAAAGCATGCACTCTAGAAGATTCAGCTGTGTTCAATTCTGGAAGATGCGTCTATTAAAAACAAACAAAAATGGGGGTAATCATGGAGCAAAAACTATTATAAAATATATTCTGTATTCAGAATACTGAGCAGTATATATATCATGGACTGATTCTAACTTCACTAAGCTATCTCTGCAGGAGTATCCTTTTTCCTCCCTTTCAGAACACAACAAAGTAAATCGTTTTTCATGTATTTTTATGAACATAGCATGGCAAATGGGATCTTATAATAGACAGAAACATGTAGTGCACAGACTGTTTATTTAATGACAACATTTTTGGAAAATTGACTTTAGTTCTTCTAAATTATAAGGTGCAAACCCAGGCATTCATAAGGGTATCTAAAAGCCAAAATCACAAAAGCTCTCTGTAGGTCTATTTCAATAAACACTTCAGTTTGCACAACTAGTATTTTGTTGGCCAAGCCTTAATCCTTCTGGGTAGTTCTAAAGAGTCACATTACTTCAAGGAACAGAGGTAGGTAACATGATCCTGACTGATACTTCATCTTAAATTTTTTGAGTCAAGTTCAGGTCTTGGTAACTATATTCCTGTTGTTTTCCTGGCAGCAATATAATATGGAAATGGCTTGTTGTTACCTTTTGACTTTATCTTTAACTTTGCCTACTCTACAATCTGTTCTTAGCATTTCACGGTGATCTCCCATTCAGCTACATACTGGGTCTGACCCTATTTAGCATTTTCAACACCAGGTTGCTGCCATCTGCTGTAAAGGTATTGTCCTACAACTCTGTAAATCCTTAGCCATTATCATATTGGCTGGGCTTGATGAAAGTTGCAGTCCAAAACTATGAAGAATTCAGGCTGTCTATCCTTGCTTACCATGTTATGTTCTTACCATATTGTGTGGTATTGATGCATAGTTTGGGACTCCAAGTACTTGGCTTATAAAGTTCGGTCCGCAATTCTTGCCAACCCATAAGAACATGACCTGTATATTCAAACATAGGAATTAGTAAATAATGTATCCATTAAGCTTTTACCTCAGACCAGATTAATAAAGTACTGCTATGAAGGTTTATTTATGGGGAATGAGATACCTCCTGCTAATGCTTGTAGTATATATAAAATCCTACTTACAGAACCAGCATCCATAAGAAAAGCACCATCCCGGTTTAGCTTTTCTACAGACAGCTGAAGAATGGGTGGCTGAGGTATTGTTCTGTCACCAATGTTGAGGGCTCCCTAAATAGATAAAATAATTTCTAATAGGCAAGTAAAACAGTAGATCTTCTGTATTATAAACATGGGCTACCATATCCTGACATGTATCACATCTGAAACCTACATATATCTGTAACATAAAGAAAAATATTCCAACCTTATTTTTTAAACAATTGTTAATGTTTCCAGATAGAATGCTTTGCAAATTATGCACAATTTCTGTTCCTTGCATTATGAAAGGTATTTACATTTGCAGGAACCATTTTAGTTGTTCTTGAAAGAAACTCGAAGTTAACAATGTTTAGTTTGTATATAATAATATTATTCCATTTGTTAAAATACAGGAACATGTATCATTTAAATTTAGTTCTTTCATATCTGTTTGTAATATCAGATATTCTACTTGCATGTATTCAATTTTAATGTCCTTTGCAATTTACCCATTGTAATTTAATATCTCCATTCATTTAAACACACACTAAAACACTGATTGTGATGGCTAGTTTGTATATCCAGCACAAAATTAGACAACTACATACAAAAATAGAAACAGCTTATAAAATTTCTGGTACATGCCATATGACATATACACATGCCAACTGATAATCCAATTCATAATTGTCATAATTTAACTAGATCTTAAAAGCTAACTGTTGTATTTATATCTACTTTCAACGTCTGTCATATTGCTACTTTCATAATTGATGCCTTCACGTATCGTGTCAAATATTGGTCCCTATTTGCAAAGTTCTGGATTGTCAATATTCACATAAGTAAATCATCCTCAATGCTTAGATGGGGAGAAGGACAAAGTTTTCATTTTTCCAAACCTCCAAGACTTGAGGTCTGGAAAAAGGAAGACTGACAGAATATCCCAGAAAACTGCTCCCATAATCTGAAAAGCATGGACATGCATGCCTTTATTATAAAATATGCACAAAAGTCAAATGTTTTAGTACAATTTTGTATAATATCTGAAATTAGAAAGATACATCCAATGATTTCCAGAAAAATTTAGAGGAAGAACTTACCTCATCTGTGAGATTGTCAATTCTATACAGATTGGGATGCATAATAAGCATGAGGTACACTAATGGCTGGCTTTTCACTTGACACATTGTAAAGATGCGTTCATCTAAACGGGTATTTGTTTTACTTTGGAATGCTTTCTGTAAGCAAAAGTAGCAGCAGAAAAATAAGACAATTTAGAGTTATGCACATGTCAAGACCATCATTTTCAACCATACATTTTTTACCTCATGTATACAGGAAGTCTGGAAGCTTATTCTCAATACAGAATAGTTTTTCTAAATTTGTTACTGCATATAAATATCTGGAAAAAATAATTAACTATGATGCTGTAAATGGTCATCATTAATTTTAACAAAATTTACTTAGACAGCTTCTATTTCTCAGGCAATTTCTGTTTTTATTTTTACCTGTTTTAAGAGAGCCAGGATAAACAATGGGAACAGACGCAATGATGCAGGAGCCATAAGACCTGGTTGCTGAATGGTTAGAACAGATGAGCGGTATGCAGAAAGAGAATCTATTACAGCATTCACCAATGCATCTCGAGCATCATTCAAACTTGCAGAAACTGACCTATCAACAGCTGAAAAGAAACAGAACACAGTTCACTTGGTTGTCAAAAAAAACAATCATAATAAAAAGTATTATCAATGGATATTAAAGTCTCATTCACTCAATCTCTCTCTATCTCTCTCTCTCACACACACACACAGATATCCAACTTACCAAAAAGAATACAAAGCAATACTGCATAGCATCTATAGCTCTTTATGCTGTGGCACAGTTCCCAAATCTTTTAGATACATTTTGTAAAGCACCTTTATGCATTCTAGAACCATCTCAACCAAAACATTCATTATCGCCAATCTTTAAACTTTGTACAATGATCATATCAATGAATCAAAGATAATTGTGTAATTCAATCCAACAATTCAGCACATACCCATATTGGCTAAAAGGCCTGTAATAGCTTGTACATCAGCTCCTAAATAAACATCACTCAATTGGCTTACAACTGGTAAACACAGTGTGTGGACACGAATTCTTCTTTCACCTGTTAAAAAAATAGTTTTTTAATAGCATTTAAAATAAGTCCAGGATATGCTTCAAAACTACGATAAATTAATTCTATTGCCGACATGGGGTGAAATGCGTTATTCAAAGTCATCCGTCTTACAAACTTAAATACAGGCTGCTCTTTTCTAACCAAATTTATGTAAAAGACATTTTACTTCCCACTTTTTTCAAACCCAAAGTACCATTTAACAGTGAAAGTCATACGTATCTGCCAATAACCTATGAAGTTCTTAATCATGAAACCTGCCAAAGTCTAAAAACTTTAATAACAACCATTTGGTGTTATTAAAAGCATGGAGGGCATGACCTTGAAATGCATACCGGATGCCCCTGCCTGCTTACCTTTACTAGATGTATATAGGAGGGCTGACTGAAAACAGACCACTTGCATATCTGTCAAGCTCTCCTCTACGGACATTTGGACAGCATATCCTGCATCAGGATTCACGTTTGGCAGAGACAATAGATCAGTTGACCGTACAAAGAAGTTGCCATGGAAGGTGTGAATTGAAAGGCCTGTGAGGAAGAATTATGTTTAAAACATTATAATTAAGTTTATAATTACTAGCATTCACTCTTCATTTTCAACAGATTAGGTTTAAGCACTGTCACTAAGCATTTCCATAAAATGTCATGCTCAATTTAAAACACCAAAGCAGAAGCAATGTGTAGGAAATGAAATTTCTATATGGCAAATACCTCCCATTGTCATAAAGCTTTTGTAGTATTATTCTCAACGTAGTGAGGGACAGTATTTTTTTGTGCACACATAGAGGACTTTACCACACAAAAAGGGCAATCTAAATGCAGACACTCTCTCTTGAACTGCTTAACTTTATTAAAATATTCTTAAATACGTTATGCAAATATACTACTAGCATTATCATTATAGTATAGCATTATGTTTTCAAGAATTGAACTGAAATCAAAATATGTACTTTTTTACAGTAAAGAAGAAATGTAGACTTATGGCTATGTTTTTTTGAATCAGGAAAACATTTGAAAATTGTGGTTAAAATAAGCTTAAGTTTAGAAAAATCACCACATTCATAAATACAAAAGCAAGACCATTCATGTGTGCAGCTCATTTTGCATTACCTGTTGACTCAAGATGTTCTCTTCCCCCCAACCCCCCAAATTCTATCTTTTTTTTTTTTTTTTTACCAAAAAAGTACATTCAAGGCATAAATTTACACCTTTGGATTTACAATGCATTTTTTAAAAATCCTCCTAGAAATACCAATCTGCTATGATGGGCAGACCAGATTCTCCAAAGACCTGAGCCAATTTATTTAACAATTTGCTTCTTATGGATTCTCTTTCCTTCCATTAATTTGCATTTCTCTTCTTCTTTGTCAGTTATGACTGTATATGCATAACCTTACAAAAAAGCAACCTTGGCTTTTGCACATGTCATATGTGCATTAATAGATAAATTGCATGCCTTAGCCATAAAGGTATGTCATATCCAGCCTTGTTAACAGAAGGACACCATGAATTAGGCTTCTAAACTGTTAGTTGTACTTTTGGATCCTGCTTGGTTAAGTTACTTTTGTACTGGTCTTGAACCGTAATAATAAATTTAACAATATAGCACGCTCTGTGGGGGGAGAGGGGAGAGCTGCTTCCATTGTAACCATCCAATATATAAAAGACCTTGCCCCTGGGGAACAGGATGCCAGGTTCCCATGATCTTTGAGATCAACAATTTCAGATGATTTACATCTGTGGAAACAGCCTTCGCCGATTATACAATAGGTTTGTAACATTCTATGACAACTCTTTCATAAAAACTCATACATTAAGGCCGCAAAGAAAGAATAATAACTTAAGCAATATCAAACATCATTTGTCGGAATTCCAAATTTGGGCTACTTAGAATTTCAAATTTTTACATATATCTTTTCACTTATTTAAGCAGTTATGACAAAGCTTCGATTAACACTGACATACTAAATGTCTGACCTTTGGTACATCTTATCCTCATGACAGCTTCAAAGCCAATCTTCCTAGTTAAATATCGCTTTAGTTCTTTCTGTAATTTTTCCACCAAAAGAGGATTGTGTTGATGATGGTAAGCTTGATAATAATGGACACTACCAGCAGAATACCTTGATATACATCCTAAAAAAAAGTAAATTTATTTCACTTTTTGGACTTAAGAGTAATATAGTATAAAAAAAATAAATGTTTTCCAGTAAGAAAAAAAAACCATGCACATTGTTTCAAGCCCTGGGCTCACTGCTGAAGTGGAATACATTTCTTTCCTAAGGAACAGGTTTTTAAAAATGATGAACTGAAAATAGATTCAAGTACATTATTGAAATTTATTGCTCCACATTTTCTAATGTTTTAGTTTTTACCATTTAAAATCTATCATTGTAAAATTAAAATTCATTACTCCATTTTACAACAGCACGTGAGAAAAGAGTTTTATGCCTTTATTAATCAAGCAGGAAAGAAAGCAAACCAGTAGAACAGGGCTTCTCATGCATATATATTAAGTTTTATGCAACAGTTTCAATAAAGGATGACCATATTTTATTATAATCACCCCTGTGTAATCTACATCTTTAAACAAAGCGTTGCTAAATGGCGAGCAACAACAGTGTCTTACCTAATGAAGCCAAGTCAGAGTACTGCCCACTAAGAAGAAACAAGTCAACTGCAACCTGCTGTCCTGAGCAATCCAAGGCCAATTTTTTATAGAAGTCAGTAGATGGTGTCAGAGGAACATCCTGGTAAAAGGCAAAATATGCACTTGAAGGGGTGTTTCACTCGTGTTCGTGCCATCAACAAAGCAATATTGATTAAAGCACTGAAGCAGCTGCCTCCTCCCAAAGGTTTAGCACAGCCTTTTTGTGCTCAATTGCCTCCGTATGCATGTGTATGCACTGAAGATGCTTTCACCAGGAATGCCAGGTAAAGGGAAGTTGCAGCTGTGTGGATGGTTGAAAAGTGATGCTTTGCTCACAGTAGGGGACAGCATTATTCAAAGGATTTACGCTGGCTACTGCCCAATATAAAAAAAATTTCTAGTGATGTTCAAATTAACGCAAGGATTTTGTTACAAAATGGACTGAGTCTAGGTTTCCTAGTAGTCAATCAAAATTGAAAATGACCATTTAGGCATTAAGTTCAACGGCCTGTTCGGTATAGCAAATGAAATTAAATCATCTGTAACAGCCTATACTTATATACAGTATATATATATATCCAGTAAAGAGACATTCAAGAATTAGTTTGGTGTAGTGGTTAAGACATCAAGCTAGAACCCAGGAGACTGTGAGCTAGTCCTGCCTGAGGCACAAAGCCAGTTGGATGACCTTGGGCCAACCACTCTCTCTCAGCCCTAGGAAGATGGCAATGGCAAGCCACGTCTGAAATCTTGCCAAGAAAACTACAGGGATTTGTCCAGGCAGTCACCAGAGTAAATACTGACTTGAAGGGTACTCATGCACACCCAAAGAAGTTTACCACCTGTCTTGCAATAAATTCTACAGTTGAACTATTCTACTTTTAGGAAGTTTTCTAATATGCAGTCAAACTCTGCCTCCCTATAACTTAAATCCGTAATTCTTGTACTCTGTAGTGATACAGAACATGTTCTGTGCATTATCTTTTCAGATATGTAAATAGTGGTATTATATCTTCCCTTAGTCTTCTTTCCTCAGGGCTACATATGCCTAGTGCCTTCAAATGTATCATCATACAACAGTTTCTGCTCTGCTGGTCATTCTTATTGGCATGTTTTGAACCTGTTCCAGTCTCTCTGAATCATTCTTAAATTATAGTACTCAGAATACTATCCAGAACCCAGTGCTAAATCTGACCAAAGCAGAATAAAGGAGAACTATAATTTCCTGTGGTTTGGAAGATATTCTTCTGTTGAAAAATTTGCATTTTCGCAGCCCCACTGCAGACTAGAACTATTTTTAAAAAGAACAGTTACAATAAAAAATAGATTTTAAGAGTCACTTAAAAATCAGGCATAAAGTTTGTTTTGCTAACCTTTGTGGATGCTTTTTGGTTAGGCTCTTCCCGTGGTTTGAGGACACCTGCTCCTAAAGATGGAAGCTGAGTTTGGAAGACAGTAATCCGACCCCCAGTAGGTGACATAAGTTTAAAGGCAGCCTGTAGTGCAGGTCCCAAAGCACTTTGGGTTTCCAAAGATTTAGTAAACATCTGAGGCAAAGTTCTCAATAAATCTTGAATCAGCTGAAAGAAATCAAATTTTCACCTTTTTATGTGCTATATTTATTCATCTTTATATTATCCAATAATTGAAGTTCACACTGCAGCTTAAAAAAAATAAAACCTAAATAAAATCAAAAGTAGTACTAAGTGAAAGGTTTTTGTCTTGTGTTAAAAATCTATGTGCCAATGTACCACCACTGGAAATACCATCCACGATCGGGGCTTCTCCAATGAGGAGACCTTAAATTAATCACTCAGTGGTTGGTTATTTTGTTTATTTATTAAAGAACTTACACTGGCATCATCTCATCTGACAGAAAAACTGAAAGCTTCAAAAGTTGATTTTAGGCTCCGAGCTTATCAGTATGAATAATAATTGATCAGATGCTAAGAGCTTGAAAAGTTAGTTATACAGGGGGTGAGAGTGTGGGTTACACAAATGAACCAGAAAATCAGTAGTTGCCCTCCGACTGTACCAATGATGACTCAGGCCCAGTCTTGTCCAGTTATCTGGGAAGGGTTTGATCGGGTGGCTCTTGAGAAGTGGACAGGAGTGCTGGCTGCCATTTGTCCCAAGATCAGGTATTGAACATTTTAACTGAAGTTCTTTTGTTCTCAGGCCAAAGTATGTTTTACATTTTATTACACAGAATAGGCAAAATAATATTTCAAAGTCAATTGCTTAAAATATACTTTTGCTTCCACTTACGACGTATAATATTCCTCTTACCTCTTTGCTTTCGTTTAAATTTACTAATAAGTTTTCCGGCATGGGTATAAACACATCTACAAGATAGATAAAAGAAGTATTTAATTTATTTTTTATTGTTATCATTGGATTTAATGACTGTTCAGTTATGATAGCCTTGGAAAGGCTGCTTTATAGCCCATAAAGCACTTCCGCCCATCATAAAACATCTAGCTGCCTCCCCCCCCCAGTCACATGACAGTATTTCAGGCACTCGGCAACCAATTACAGTGGTCCACAGTCACTGGACCGCAATTTGCGAACTTTTCTGCCAATTTCAAGCAAAAAGTGCCCATTCGGGAGAATGGATTTGCTTAATGACTGGCATAAAAACAGTAAAAAAAATGGATACAGTAATGTGATGCCACAATTTACAACTGCAACAACTTACAGCTAAAATTCCAGCCCCAATTATGGTTGTAAGTCAAGGATTACCTTAATACTTTCACCTATTTTCTCTACAACACAACCCTTTGAGGTGAGTTGGGCTAAGAGAGAGTGACTAACCCAGAGTCACCCAGCCATCTTTAATGCCACCTGTGATTAAAACTCAGAGTACCCCACTTCTACTTCAAAAGCTTAATTACTATATCAAACTGGCTAAATATAAAAATATTTACTCTTTATCATTTGCACAGCATGTTATCCTGTTGACAACAATCTAAAGTTGCTTATGAACTCTTTTCCAGCAGTAATCACCAGAAGAAACAATGCCCCACTAGCATGTGGTTTACAATGGGACTTCTTCGGATATATCTGTAGAAGATAATTCTCTATACCTGTCACTTTAACAGATTTTTATACACATAGGAAATATGAAAGCAGAGAAATAGAAATGTAGAATTCTGGTGATCTTTTATTTTGGTTTATAGGCATAAACTTCAACTTGTCCTTTAGTTAAAGGCAAAACGAAAAACTTTTTCTTATGTTCAGGATATAATAGGACAAAAACCTCAAGGCTTACAACTAGCAGACAATTGGACAGGACTGTGCAGTAATTCAGATTAGATTCCAAAAAGGAGCTTTGGAACATGGGAAGGACAGAACATTGCTCCCCTTGCAATTATTTAACACAGCTGTGTCTGCAGCTGCTACATTCATAACCCACATTGTTCCAAGGGACCTTTTTTTGGAACTAAATCCAAAGCATTGCACAGTCCTAAAACTTGATGACCTATATATATATATATTGTATTTTTGTTTTGATCAACCATAGCAAGCATAATTACTTGAAAGAAACTGTGCAAGTTATAATTTAAAACACATGAAAACCACTAGAACGTCTACTTCTAAACCAGTGTTTCTCAACCTTGGCAACTTTACGATGTGTGGACTTCAACTCCCAGAATTCTCCAGCTAGCAACGCTAGCTGGAAAATTCTGGGAGTTGAAGTCCACACATCGTAAAGTTGCCAAGGTTGAGAAACACTGCTCTAAACTAAACTGGTCCTTAGCTTGCTTCCAAATCCAATTCAAGATGTTATCACCTTTAAAGCCCTCCATGGCATGGCCCAGGTTACCTGAGGAGCTGTTTCACCCTGATGAGATAAGCCCACCCCATCTACCCCAGAAGAGGCATGGTGCAGATCCCATCGGTCAAGGGATCCCTCCTCGTGGGGTTCAAAAGAAAAGCCTTTTCTGCCATGGCTCCCCAACGTGAGATCCGTACCCACCTTTTGGCATTCTAAAAGGGCCTGGAGCCCTGCCTCTGTCAAACGGGCAGGAACCACAATGGAGGCACATCTTTCCGGAGGTGGTTAACGGACTAGACCCCATCTTCCCTCCATGTGAATCATGCTTCCTACCTCCCCATTTTTGTCAATTTTAACTAATTTAATGTTACTATTTATTGCTTTAACGTTTGTATTGTTTTTTAATGATTAGAAAAGGCAAAATAAGTGGCATATGAGCTGAATGAATAAAGTAAAGTTAATTAATAAATTAATAAATTAATAAATTAATAAATTAAGAAAAGAAAGAAAGAAAGAAAGAAAGAAAGAAAGAAAGAAAGAAAGAAAGAAAGAAAGAAAGAAAGCTGGATGTGCAAAAAAATTACTGAGAAAAAGTGACTTTTTAAATTTCCATCACTCCCCAGAATAAATCTAAGATGGCAAAACCTCTACATTACCCCAAATACAAACTACTAGAGTCCTGAGAGATCTTCTACAAACTACTGAAATAATAGTATTTATTTCCTGGACCTATAGCCAGAAAGTGACAGCGAAATTGGAAAAAAAACAACACCTTGAGAGTTATGTGTGAAGTGCTTTGCTTCTTTGACATTTCCTAGAATGAAAGTGTGAGAAGACAGAATTTCTAAGTGAGCTAAGAGGCAGCCCTAAAACACCTATAGCAAATGAGACAACTATCATGGGGCTACTTCTCCAGATAGCTACAGTCTCTCTCTCTCTCTCTCTCTCTCTCTCTCTCTCTCTCTCTCTCTCTCTCTCTCTCACTCTCTCTCTCTCTCTGTGAAAGAAAATCTGCAATGAAAATTTTTAAATCCTAGGCTTTTTTAAAAAACAAAAATAGAAAACAGCATAAACCCTGCTTTTCTTGAAGACTGACCTGCAGTCTTCAACACTAATGATTGAGGCATATTCTACCTAGAAGGAGTGTATTTCTAGCTGTGTCTTTGACTAAAGGACATTTGCTCTTTTTCATTGCTTGCTCTCCCAGCTTACAGTATGACTGAGAATCATTTTTAATAGCAAAGTACCAAAACTTGTTATTTAACTGTTTTTTCCTTCTTTGAAAACAGAAAATGTGTTGGATTAATGTTCCAATTTAGCATATGACAGAAGTCACAAAGCATACTTCATAAATTTAGTATTTGAGATTATTTCTTCTTACCTTCAATATCTGAAATGATTAACATTTGAGGCTGTGAGAGACCTTCCTGGAGGCTATAGAAATGGATTGTGCTGTCAAATGTTATGAAGCCTATTTTTGTTCTAGTGTTCCCTGGGAGTCTAAAAATGAAGCAGAGAAATTGAGCATCGGGCATTAAATATATAAAGTGTGTACATTTAAGTTGAACATACATATTTTCATTAAACATTTCATGTAACGTGTAAAATGTAGGTTAATAAATTATTCTTCCACGAACAGCTATAAAGCTCCCATTCAGACTGGTTCATTGTTAAGTTTCAAAGTAGTGGAATAGAACTTTATGGTGACAATAAGATGACAAAAAACGGAAACACAGAGAATCACCAAGGGGAGATATTCTGGAATGGAGAAAAATTCTACCTTCATTACAGAAAAAGACATTTTATTTGTTTCTTACGAACACTGCAAAATACAGAGTTCCTTAAGCAAATTATCCTTTCAGATTATACACACATTTCCTAAAGAATGTACTTCAGTTCAACACACTGAAACCTAGTAAGAAACCACAAACAGCCAAAGTTCTTCAATTGTTTTTACAAGAAGCATTACTATAAAATATCTTTGCATATATTTTACAGTATAAGAACAGAGCAAGATAAGAGCGACAGAAGCAGAATAGGTCTTTCAGCAATTTGTGTAAATTTGATATCTGCATTTCATAATAGCTACTGTACATACAAGATAAATTTTAACAATACAGAGCTTCAAACTGCATTACACTGAAGCTTCAAATTATCTGAAGCTGATGCAATGAAATTTGCATGCAGCAGATGGAATTTTCTGTATCATGTCTTCACTAAACATGTTGAGCACCATTCATTTCTTCAGTAGAAAAAAATAAGCTTTCATATCCTCTAGCAGTAATAATTTCAACTATTTTTTTTTCTCTAGCTGTAGACCTGCTCATTGACTTTTAGGTATTTTTGCACATTCCTCTTCACAGAATTTCTTTACCTAATTGGTATTTTTTGGTTTCCTTGCATTAACTGTTTGCTTCAAGTCATACTACCTTTCCACTGAGTTAAGATCAGAGGTTTGACAAAACCATGCCAAAATATCATTTTTTTCTGCTTCACCCATTCTTATTATAAGATGAGCCTCAAATCACACTGCGAGTCATGCTACTTGGATTACAGATAAAAGGTCCATAAACTTTCATCACTGCAGGTTTATGTAAATTTATGTTATCTGTATACTGATGTCATCATGCATTGAGCTAAACTCCTGTGCTATCCTGTGTTTTTCAATTCAGTGAACATTCCTTAATGACCAATACCCCCTCCTCAAATATTACCATAATTATAATTTTATACATTATGCATATGTGCATACTGACATTGACATACTCCAACCCAACTTAATGATATTCTCGTGGTGGGCTCAGACTTGTGTCAGAGGAGGGAAAAGACAATGAGCGCCAGCTTCAGAAGTGCTGACAAACAACAAGCAGCTAGCCCAGGTAGCACCAGACCGACCGCTGCCTGAACAAGTAAAGGAGGTAGGTCCAAAACAGCACACACAGCTGCTGAAGAAGAGAGTGCAGAACTACCTCCCTAACCCTAAGCCCTGAACACAAGAGCTTGGCAGACTGCAAAGAGAGTAGAGTCTTTATACTCTGTGAGATTGCTCATGCAGAAGGAGTCTTGCCCTAAGTGAGTTGCGCTGGGGTTGTTTCTATTAAAATGGAGCAGCAAGCACAAACTGTCCCTTGACAACAACCACCGTAACCTGTGCCTTGACTTGTAAACCTTGCAATCCTGACTTTGATCCTAAACTGGCTGATGAATCTGCAACTGGTCCAGAATGCGGCCGCGCGGGCGGTGTTGGGAGGGACTCGTCGCTCCCACGTAACACCGCTGCTGCGCGAGCTGCACTGGTTGCCAGTGGCCTTCCGGGTGCGCTTTAAGGTGTTAGTTACCACCTTTAAAGCGCTCCATGGCATAGGACCTGGTTATCTCCGAGACCGCCTTCTGCCACAGATTCCCTCCC